GATGTTTCTTCTGTACCTCCCGTAGGCAGACACTCTTCTAAGAGCCAGACAGTTAATAAAACTTGCAAGGTCCCTGCCTTCATGGGGTTTACATCCTAATTGGGAAATAAGGCAATCGATAATGGAGCAATAAATTTGTACGAACATGTCACAGGGTGCTAAGTCCTATAGCATCAAGTAGGCATGCATCATAGCGTGGCTGAGCAAGTAAGCTTCTGATAAAGGCTCATTAAAGTGAAGGGAGGAAGGGAGTGAAAGTGTTGATCTCAGAGGGTAGCAGCAAGAGTAGGAAGTACAAAGGATGGAAGTCGGAGCAATTTTAGAAGCTGCTGAAGGATGTGGGAGAGGGGAAAGGTGGTAAGAAGTGAGGTCAGAGACAAGCAGATGGCCAACCCAGGCCATGGACTGTAAATTTGGCTCTGAGAGTGACAGAAAGCTAGTAAAGCGTTTTGAACAGAGGTGTTCAAAGGATCGCTCAGCCTGAGCAAGAGCAGAGACAAGGTCACTGCAATCATCTTGGTAGAGATGGTGATGGCTTGGACCAGGCGGCAGAGCCAGAGGAGGTGAGAAGTGGTCGTTCTCAATACATTTTGAAGGCAGAGCTTACAGAACTCACTGGTGGACTGGATATGGGCTGTGAATGGAAGGCTGATCCTAAGACTGTGATCCAAGCAAATGAAATGGAAGAGTTGCCGTTTCATGAAGCAGGGAGGGAAACTGAGGGAGAAGAGGCAAGGCAACAAATCAAGCATCTGTTTTTGAACGTGCCAAGTTTGATCCAGTCAACATAGAGTAGTGGCTGGATATACAAATCTGAGAGCAGAAGAAGACCAGACTGGAAAGTGACATTTGGGAGCGTTAGGCAGGTAAACATTCAATGGTGTTGAAAGCCAGGAGACTGGGTGAGCCCATCTAGAGGATCAGAGTTGGGCCTCCATGTATCCATGGGGACGTGCCAATAATCTAAGGGCAGGGAAACCAGAATCCAAGAAGGAATCTGACAAGGACTGCCCAGCAGAACCATGAGTGTGGTGTCCTGAAAAAGCCAAAAGAGTGTGATGTCCTGAAAAAACAGAAAGAGATTCAAGGAGAAGGGATTGACCAACTGCCAAATGCTGCTAATCAATCACAGAAGACGAAACTGAGAACTGACCAAGGGATCTGGCAACATGGGGGTCACTGGTGACCTTGGCAAGAGCTGTTTGGATGGACAGGTGAGTACAAAAGAGCATGGGAGGAGGAGAAACAGAGACATCCAGATAAGACAAGCCTCAGCGCAGAAAAGAGGACTCTGGAGTGACATCCAGGAGGTGAGTGGGGACAGGATCTAGTGAACAACGAAGGTCTGCTTATAAATGGTAACCCCTCAACTGTGGCCAGGCGACAGTAAAACAGGCCCTAGCCATAGAACAAAAACCATTCCAGCCTCTTCAGAAATCAGTCTAGCAGTACACATCATGAGCCTTGAGAAATGTCCACACCCTTTGACCCATTAATGCCACTTCTGGAAATCTCTCTTAAGGAAATAATTCCAAATACAAAAAGAGTTCTCTGCGGTTGCCTGGCCGGCTCAATCAGTAGATCGTGTGATCTTTGATCTCCAGGTCCTGGGTTCAAGCCCCACATTGGGTGTGGAAACAACTTAAAATATTTCTTTAAAATATTTTTTAAAAAATAAAAAATTAAAACAAGCTATCTTCATAGAAGTTCATCCTAACAGATCTAGAAACATCCAAGTATGCCACAACAGATGATTAAAGATGCAGGATGGATCTAGTCATTGGACTATACACTCCATGAGAATAGGGACAGTGTCTATTTTACTTAGCACTGTATCTCCGTTACCTCCCATGTGTCTGACATATCTGTTGAAAGATTAAAAATTCTTACAAGGTTAAGCAAAAAAAGATATTTTAAAATATTTTAAGACTATACATAAATACCCAGACACTTACAGTATGATCTCAACCATGCTTTTCTAATAAAACTATGTACACGGAAACTAAAGAAATGACTCCCAAGGAATGTAAACAATGAGTATCTTTGGGTGACAGAACATGATTTCCTTTTTCATTTTATTGTTGCATATTTCATGTATATATCAAGAATGAATATGATTAACTTTTATAACAGGGGAAAAAACAAGCCAATGTCATTTCTGGGAAAAGGAAGTGCTGGAGTGAGACAGGATCTGTGTTCCCACCACCAGGGTTCAGTAATGCTTTGCTCCCTCGAGGGGTCCCCAGGCAGTCTTTGTGGGTGGGCAGCTCAGGTTCCAGCCCCAATGCTCCCCAAAGATTGGGCTCCTCCCACTACAGTCAGGGACATGCCCATTAGCTGGGACCCAGGAGCTTCCTCAGAGGTACAGCTTTCAAGGGCACATTTGCTAAATCCATAATGATAGGGATGGTCAAAAATGATCATGGAAAACCGTTGATGATAGTTTTAAGTGAGATCAAGCAGAATACAGGTGGGCACGTTCACTAAGAATGTAACTGCACAAACTGTTCATTCAGTGAATATTTATTGGAGGAATGAAAAGGCATCACGAGAATTTTGTCCACGTGCAGACAGAGATGAGACAAACAACCAGAGCCAAACAACCCACCTTTTCAGCAATACCACTGTGCAGCCCAATCTCCAGAACCAGGATTCCTAGAGCCGTCTTCGAGATCCCAGAGTGCGTGCCCACAGGGCTCCCCGAGTGGCTCCAGGCTACAAGGCACTCTGTTTCCTCGAGCAGAGCTGCTCACACTCAAAGGTGTACACCATTAACTTGGAGGATTTGATCAAATGAGGATTCTGATTTACTAGTTCTTAAGTGGGAACAGAGATCCCGCATGTCTGTCAAGTTCCAAGTGATGCTGAGGCTGCTGGTTTTCTGACCCTACTTTCAGCAGTATGATCCCAGGGTGCTGGGGAGCCAGGCAACTCCAAGGGGCACTAGGAACTGGGATCAGGAGACAGCCATCCGGGCAGGTTGTGTCCACCCAGGCAAGGTGAGGGGAGCACAGAAGATGCTCAACGAAGCTTTCACCCACTACCCTGATTCCTAATGTCAAGCACCTTTGCCAGATCCCCAGACCGGTCCCCCTGTCCTCAAGTGTATGGGCACCCTAAAGCATCCTTGTCCCCAAGCACCCCCATTGAGATGGGTGATGAGACATAAATTCCAGGCAACTGCATGGGGTTCTGGAGGGGCCTGGGGCCTCCAAATTCTTTGGGAAGCTTGGTCAATGACATCACTCTGGGATGAACCCCTGGGTCTGGGCTTTACCTGGAGCAGCCTGTGGCAGATGGCACCCGAGGACCAGCACAAGCCATGTCTGACAGAGTGGCTCAAAATCTATCCCAAAAGCCAGGGTAAAGGTCAGCAAAGGAACAGCATGAGAGCTGTGACCAAAGGCTGGGATGAAACAAACAGCTCTAGGAATGGAGCTGGTGGCCCAATGGAGCGCTTGACTTGGGTGTTGGCTGCACAACTTCTTGGTCAGGGGCCAGGTCAGAGAAACAGTCAGACACGGCTGTTCAACCTCCTGCTGCTTGGCCCTCTGCCAGATACCCTGTGAACAGCAGTCCTGGTAGCCTCCCAGTGAGACTCCTCAGGGACTCTGGGCACCTGAATATCCTGCCCCAGGAAGCCATGGTGGGTCTAACCAGTGACCACTCTGCCCCAGGGTGAATGGGTCTGAGCAGGCAAGAGCCAGACCCGGCATCCCATCAAAAGCAGCCCAGAGGCGATCTTGACCTGTCTGTCTGGTCCACACAGAGATAAAGCCTTGGATCTGGGTCAGCAGCCAGAAGACTGGGGCATGGGTGAGATAATCCTATTCATTTTAGGCTTTCCTCCTTTTTCCTGGGAGGAAATCTAGGTTTCAGCCAGTGTCCCATTAAGCCAAACGAAAGAACCCCCCTGCCCCTACCCTTCCTGAAGCCTTGGTGAGGCTTTTCAAAAGGGTGCCCATCACCTAGAGCAAGTCAGGTTAGCAGTCAGAGTGCCGTTGGCCTTGGCAGTGGGTCAATGATGGGGAGGCACACAGAGTTCCTGGCCAGCTGCCTTGTCGAGAGAAGTCCTGAAGGTCAGGAAGAGGAGGTAAGAGCATGGCTGAAGCAGCCTGAGTCCTCCCCATGCTGGACTGTGACCCAGGGTGCTTGTGCTCAGCTGAGCACTCAGCAGGGCACGTTTGCCATCAGCCTGACTTGCTGGAGCCCTCTCCCTGCACCAGCATCTGTCCTAGGTGTGGAGGACCAGCTCTGCGACAATGCAGGTATCCCCCTCAAGGTGGTTTTCGGGGGGGGGGGCACTTGCAGTCTTATTTCCAACTAAGGTGGCAGAGGCAGTGAAAGAGAAAGTTGGAGCAGGAGGTGAATCCTGGAGTTCTTGCTGCTCAGGCCTGACTTTCCTGATGCAGAGGAGCACAAGGACCCAAGATGACCAGGATCCATGCTCTGCATTGTAATACTCTAACCCCATGACAGTAATCCCTCTATCTTGTCTTCATAGACTTCTTTACTACTCGTAAATTCTGTTCACCAACATCACCTCTCTCAGAGGTGAGGGACTGACCAAGGTCCAGAGCCCTGACCCCACGTGCTCCTTCCCTCACCCCACAGTGACCTCACAGTCTCATTGGCCAAGGTGAACCCCTTGGGTTCCTAGGCTGAGCATCTGTTTGTGAATTACCAGAATGAACTCTGCCTGCTACAAGAGGACCATCTCTGGTTCCAGCACCTGGTCAGGCTGCAAGGCATGCTCTAACCTGCAGAATCCAGACTCAGGACTCCCTCAGGAACAAATGCTTGGATCATGTGAATGTCAGGCTTCACAGGGTAGATGGGTACAAAAAGAGGCTCTCTCCAGCCTCTCTGGGCTCCAGAAAACCAGCAATGATGGAGTGCCACCAGAATGCCCTAACAATGCCAGTAATGATGCAACTGGCTCACTTAGCTGAGTGAGACAGCCTGGCAATGGACGTGGCTGGGAGAAGCCCTAAACCAGACTAAATGGGGTTAGACCTGCCACTGAGCCTCAGAGAGCCTTTGGAGACCTCTGTGTGCACTGTGGACAGGGGCAGATGCTCGGACTCATCCACCGGAGCACTCTGCTGACACGTCAGCACCAGGGCCTTGACCTCCTTCTTGAAGTTGGTGTTGAGAAAACCGTAGATGAAAGGGTTGACACAGGTAGAGGCCATGGCAAGCAGGTGGCACACCAAGAAGATGAGGTTGGCGTAACAGATGGGGATGGCCTCATGGTACCAGTCCTCTAGGCTGTTGAACACATGCAGGGGCAGCCAGAGCACGGCGAAGGCCACCACCATGACCACGAGGATCCCATTGATCCGCTTCATCTGCCATGCCCGTGAGCTGTAGGTGCCCTTGTGGAACACCTGCCTCCGCTTCCGCAGGTGCTGGTAGATGCGCACGTAGCAGACCAGGATGAAGGCCAAGGGCACACAGTACTGGAAGAGCAGCAGGGAGGTGGTGTAGACGATGCGGTGGTGGTGCAGTGGCCACGACTCGGTACAGACCACCTTATCTGCCAGAAACTCCACAGTCTTGGAGTGGTTCCTATGAAAGACTTTCTCCAGGACACTGTTGACCAGGAAGGGCAGGGAGAGGAAGCCGCCGATGAGCCAGATGATCACAATCCCCAGGTAGGCCTGGGGGACACTGGGCTTCCAGCCTGTTGGGTTGATGATGAGCTGATGCCTCTCCAGGGCCACAAGGACAAGCGAAAGGATGGAGACTGTCACCGACATGCACTGGATGAAGGCCGACATCTTGCAAAGGGTCTCCCCAAAGACCCAGTAGTCCATGATGGTGTATATGGCCGTGAGCGGCTGACAGAGGAGACCCATGAGGAAGTCAGAGAAAGCCAGGTTGGCAATGAGCAGGTTGGTCACGTTGGCCTTCTCCTTCTGCCGCATGGTCACGCATATGAGGCAGAGGTTGCCCAGGACCCCCACAACAGTCTCAATGCTATAAGAGGTGACAATGAAGACCATCAGGTCTACAGAATCCTGGCAGTGGTCTGAGAAGTTGTACGGAATGTTCCTTGACCTGCTCCTGTTTTGACCCTGTGGGGATCCTGGGAGCAGTAAGGCCAGGAAGTGAGAGACATTCATGGTGCAGGTGAGAAGATTCCAGAAGGTTCAGTGATGAAGCCTACAAAGCAAACAGACAAGTGGTACTCAGGGATCCTGCCTCCTGAATCCAGGGAGAGGTGGGAGCCACATAAAGAGGTTCATGGCATCTGCCATCCCAAGTCTGCTGGGACCTGGAAGACCTGAACCTCAGAGATATAAAGCAACTTGCCCATGGTCACATGGCTAATCAGTCACAGGGCTCAGATGTGAACTCCGGTCTGATGCCAGAACTTAGCATACACATTCCCTCTGACTTCAGGCTGCCAAGCTGTTTTAATGATAAAGAAACTAGGGATTTGCATGCAGAGTGCAAAGACAGAACTGCTTAGGGAATATGGGCCAAAATCCCCCTGTGATATTTTATCCAAATGGAGATGGTGGCAAATGCCACCGTCTGCTCAGGTCCTTCCACAGAGACCCCTGCCCTATGGGATAAAGCCAAACCTCGGAGCTCAACACCCAGTGCACCCCCCTGGTCTCGGGTCCTACCTGCCCTGCCAGCCTTGTTTCTCCAGCAACACACGGCAGAGTAGAAGACGGCCACGGATGCAAAGACGGGGTCATCGGCATGCCAGCTCTCTCCTCCTGCCCATCATGCTGCACACGTGCAAGGCCAAGGTTATGAATTGCCACTGACTGTCCTGTCTATGCTCAAGTCATCTGAACTAGCTTGCAGATCCCAAGCACACCAGCTTGGTCCATACCTCCATGCCCTGACACAGCTTGTCTCTTTTCCCTGGCTGTCTCCTCAACATGAGGGACCCTCTGCTAACACCAGATTGGAATTTTGGACTCTGGAATCTCCAGGTGGTAATGCCAATGGCAGAGGCTCTGACTTAGAGAGCTACCAGATCACTCCACACACCACCGTGATTCACCTTCCTCACGGGGTCTCTAGCTGTCATTAATCCCATGGGCAGTTCCCGGCCATCAGGAAGCATTGCAATCCTTCCAGGAGCATGTTGAAAGTGCAGACTCCAGAGCCCCACAACCTGGAGATACAGTAAAGTGAGTCTGGGATAGGGCCCAGGCACCTGTTTCTTAGCAAGTGGCCCAGAGAACTCTCATGCGCATGCCCCTCGAGTCCCATTGTGAAATACACCATTCACAGAGGAAGACCCTATTTCAGATATTCTTTAAGGCCCACAGAATGGTCAAGCCCATTGGTGAGCATATATATGTTCTCACGATCAAGTGACAATTTAAAAGCTGTTTTTACAGAGTATGGCCAAAATGAACCAGAGATCAGTAAAATCTGTATGTCTAATGTCCTAAATGTCACTCACTGTGCATTTGATCTGGCTTATAAAGATGAGCTACATTTGGCTATTTACAAGATCAAGTCATGAATTCAACTGATACTTTACATGCTGGTTCTTTTGGCTACTGAATCTCAGAGGCAGGAGGATTTTTCTGGCACCACAGTCTTCTGGCAGAAAGGACTGTTTGGAATAGAACCTGGTAAAATGAAATACAGCAAAGCCAAATGTAAGGTCCAGTATGTTGAGTCCAAAAGCAGCCAGGCTTCACGAAACAGAGTTGGATGCACTATGCTCAGAAGCAGCCAATGGGAGAGACACCCCAGGCTCTGGTTGACCATCAGCCAGGGCTGGGTCAATGGCAGGGAGTAAGACCAGCAGCTCTAACTTAGCCAAGGACAACATGATCAGAGCAGAGTTCGTGGGTGGGGAGACCTCCAAAAAATCCTCACATCTTCATTCACTCAATAAACATGTGCCAAGACCCATGACAGAAGACCCATGCAAAGATGACATACGGCCATGTCCCAGACCACAGAACTGACCCCAGAAACACAGGTGAGCCTCAAGGCCATACCATGGCCAAAACCAGTATGACCGCAACACCTGTGAGCTGGGAGATAGGAGAGGAAGCAGGAAGATGAGAGAAGATGTGACATTGAGGCAGGGCCCCAAAGTTGAAGGAGTCAGCCATCCAGTGGACCAGATAGAGGAGGGAATTCAAGGTGCGGGGAACAGCATGTGCAAAGACAGGAAGGCAGGGAAGAGCAGAACGTCCTCAGAGAACAGCGAGCCCCTCCGAAGAATGGAAGTCTCGCGTAGGTGGAAGGCAGTGGCAAGCAATGAGGCCGGAGCAGGAATGCCAGGGGAGCCCATGTCCATTCTAGAAATATCATTCGGATATAGAGAACAGACTGAGGAAGAAGTCCAGGACATGCGGAGAGGGAGGGCCAGGAAGACAGCACTGGCTTGTAGCCCCCTTCTTAGGGAAGCCATAAAGAGTAACATAAGGGATGGGCACGTGTGACCCGGGACACCCCACACCAGTCACTGCGCCTAGACCACATGAGTGCCTGAAAGCAAATCAGCCCTTCCCAGCAACTGATGGGAACAAGGAGAGGAGGGAAGTGCCAGGACTGGGAGAGCAGTAAGGCAGGAAAGCAAGCATGGGGTTGGGACCAGAAAAGAATCGGAACTATCAGAGGGCCTCTGCGTGTTTCTGTAGAAGCTGGGAGAGCTTCACCAGGAGGAGACTCCATGAGCCCCCACCTCCACCCCAGAAAGGCCCTCTGTGCACCAGGACTGAGGATTTCCAGAAGCATACTCCAGGGCCAAGGTGGCAATGACTCAAATCCAAGAGCCCCAGATCATCTGGAAAGCTAGATTTCTTTCAAAGAACATGAGAGGTGGGGGCCCCCAGAAAGGAGGATCCCTTGGAGGGAGATGCTCCTGAGCAGAATCAGGTGAGGAAGGATAGGACTTAGCTACCTCCAGGGCCTGGTGGAAAGCTCTCATGATCCAGCCACAACCCCACCAACTGGGACTTAAGGGTTGAGGTCTCAGAGTGAGATCATGTGGCTGAAAGTTGTGGGTCACCTTACTGCTGGGCCAGGGCAGGGGATGCTTTCCCTCAAGAGCAGGCTGTAGTTCTGTCTCCCCAGTTGTCTGAGGGCCCCTGGGGGCAAGGACAGTATCCTTTGTTGCACAGGGCCATCCCTAGCATCTGGAAAAAGAGCCAAGAAACATCAGGACCCCAGGGAGCCCAGCAGGCCATGAACTTGTCCGGGGTTCAAATTCCAGCCCTGCCACCTGTCAGCAGGGTGGCTTTGGGAGAGTCACTGAACCTCCCTGAGCCTCAGTTCCCTCAGCTATATGGGGGCGGGGGAAGAAATCCTTATCTTACAGGAGGGCCTGGTTCCCTCCTAGGTCAGGGGATAAAATGGGAACAAAAGGAGGCTGAAAGGTAGGACCCCGGAGCTCTCCCTCCCTTAGACTCTATCAGGTTCAGTCTCCATCTTAGTTCCTTGGACAAATAACACAGTTCAGTGGACCATGTCCTGTTCAGGAACTCTCTCTGCCACTTCCTGGGAAGCTGAGCTGCCCATTTTGCAACAAGACCAGCCTATCCTAGAGTAGGTGCTCATTGAACGTTAGCTTTCTTCTCTTCCCACACATTCTCCCACCAACACTACCCAAGGGGACCTCACTCTCTTCCACCATGAGGACCTGGCCACAGTGGTCATACAAACCCATGCCCAGGCCACTGAGTGCACTTGGCTCTGGCTTTGACCCAAAGCCTCTTTAGGAAGTCCTGCAAGAGGGCACAGAGCTGGGAGCAATCACCTACTCCAATCCTTTACCCAGTGCCCGGCCTCAAAAGGGCACCAGTGCAGCTGCACCACGCTCCTGCTGTGAGCCCCGCCCCACCATGGAGTCCCCATCTCTACCCCGGGCTAGGAAGGGCCACACTCCCACTGCTCGCATTTCAGAGCCAAAGACTTCGCTGTCCACAGGCCAGTGACTAGCCCAAGAGACACCCATGACAGGCCTCACACTGACCCTCATTCACATTGCCCCATCTGTAGATGAGACCCCAGGATTCTGAGGGACACACAGGCGGTAAGAAGAAGGTGGTAGCCGCCAGCATGCAGACAGACGAGATTTTGCTTTGATTTTGGTCCCTGGACATCCCGGGAGACGCCCAAACAGCCCATGAGGCTGCACCTGGGGAGGGGCAGGATCTGAGGCTGGGAGCCTCAGGGGAGCAGGGAAGCGCATTTGGTAGGGAAAGCAGGAGACTGCAGAGGGAGCCCAGTCTTAGAGAAGAGAGAGCAAGGAGGGAGGGGGCTTGCCTCAACCTGGAGAACACATGCATTCCTGGGAGACAATGGGCAGAAGGGACATCAGCTGTCACAGAGCTTCAGGCACCTTATACCCCACCCGGCATTAATCCACAACACAGCCCTAAAAGGAAGGCATTACTAGGCTGAACCACATGAAATTGCCAGTACCCAGCCATTGTTGCCCTGCAAACACGGCAAATTCATGTGGTTCAATCTCATATCTGCTCCATTTTCAAGAGGGGGACGCTTGAGACCCAGCTAGAGGAAGGGACCTGACTAGTAAGAACACAGGGACACAGCTAATAAGAAGCCCAGCAGTCTGACTACAAAACCCCTGCCCTTGGACCTGCCAGGCAGATTTTGAAAAGGGAAGTGGAGCCCACGCTTAAGCAAGACGCAAGCTGACGTAGAGCCACAGAGGAGCTGAGGCTGGGTTGGCGGTAAAGGTCCCTGATAAAGCCTGACAGAGCCCATGGTCCCAGTGAGCGCCCAGGGGTGCTGGGAGGTGGCTGAGCCAAATAAGAAGGTGCCCCAGGGACCTGCGTTAGTAAGGTGGAGGGCTTTGGCCCTTGGTCCCAGCATGCTGGCTCAGAACCCCTAGCTCCCCAGCAGTGCCAAGGACCATCCAGCCTCTTCAGGCCCCTGTCCTTCCCAAGCAGTCTGGGACTGGCAGTCCCTAAGGTAATGACACTCTTGGGGTTGCCTCCTTACTGACACACTCTGGAACCTCAGAGCCCTCCCCCACCATGGCAGACCACAAGAGGACGGCTCCCCAAGGAGGAGACACAGGCTGGAAGGGCTACCACTGAGCAAGGACCCATCCCTTGCAAGGGTCAGTGCCTCGCAGCCTCCAGCAGTGCAGGGATCGCATCCCCTC